GCCAGAATATCCCTCTCCTGATGCGCTCGAGCCTTCGTTTTGCTTCGCAGAGGTATGAACTTGGCAGCACAGGACACTCTGTTCCCTTTATGCACAACTCGTTTCACGAAGCTGAAGCAGCCCCTGTGTAAAATTAAAGGATAAGCCCTGTTCAGACTTGATTCAAAGCCCTTATACAGCAGCTGCAGACCTTTCCAAGTCCCAGCCTACTGTTAAGGTCTTAAACTCTCCAAAACAAGCTGATTTTCCTGTGTGCAAGGCGACGTTGCCCTCTCCTGGCTGCCTCCAAAACTAAAACACTTTTTAAGGAGAGAAAAAGCTGTTTCAGGTGACGCAGGCTTGCTTGCTCAGTCTGTTAGATGGAAGTGGGGCTTGGATGACATGGGGCTTGCAGGTACATCACTGTGGAGCTCCGATGCTAATATCACCTGAGGGTTTCAACTGTGTGTCCACCACAACCTGCAGCCCCACTGAAACAGACTGGTACCAGAGGATAATACAACCAGCTGGTTGCAGGGTTGTCCCCGAATACCACAACTATCTTGTTAGATGTTGCTGTTTTTAGTTCCAGTGGAAGCTGGAAATTAGAGGAGTCACCACACGTCGGCCTCATCCCTGTGGGCCAGCAGGTGTCTGTCACGGTGCTGCTGTCCCACTCAGCAAACGCAGGTACTACAAGGAGGCTCCTGGGTTTTCTCTGTGAGAGCTCTTCAGGTTCACGCCTTGGGCATCCTTCCCTGGGTACACTTTGGGCATCACTTTGCCTAGACAGCACCAGCACTCTTCCCAACACTCCTCAGAAAGCAGACACGGGTGCTCCTGACTCTCAGACTCTTTAGACAACAACTTGCTCTATATCGAAGCAGTAGCTCAGATGAGGAGTTCAATATTCCCATGCAAGCATGCTCTAAAACTGGGAAACTAATTTACCTTCCAATCTCCTGCTTAACTTCATAGAGAGAGTGGAGTTTTCTTCGGGTGGCCACCTTCTTTGCTGCTTGGTCTTTCTTAACTTTGGCAACAAAAAGAAAATGTAAGGATTAATACACAGATTATAATGCCTTGCAAACAGTGTGCAAAACTCAGAGGACAACATAAGGCATGGAAAATTATCAGGACCCTTCTCTAAGCTTTGGGACACAATAGTCTGTCAACACGGACTTTTTGGGGCTGTAACTTCACCCAACATGAATCAGAAGAGCCAGAAGAAAGTGTGAAACACCAGAGGTATGGCCCCACTTACCTCTGGGGTCCATTGCATCAACTCATCATGTAATCTCAAAAAAAGGAAAAAAAAAAAAAAGAAAGAAAAAAAACTTATTTCTTCATAGATTTAGTTTATTAAATATCTACCCTCACTGGATCTTACTGTGTTGGTAGAATGCAAATGCCAAGCAGAAATATGGGCACCAGAAAAACAGACTGAGACAGAATATATTTTGCAATACTGTTGAAAGCATCTCACAGAGCTGAAAGGATTAAGTTACCTTCATGTACGATAAGCTCTGCTTTGCATAAAACCTCCCCTCCGGCATTTTTGGCAACACAGGTATAAACACCACCATCTTCTGGGACAACATTGTCCAGGACTAAGCAATATGTTGTTCCTTCCTTCACTTGGTGGATCCTGTGGCTGTCTGTCAACAAGGAAGTGCCCTGAGAGAAAAAAAAATGACATTTGGGCACTGAAAACCTAGACAGAAATAAATGTTCCCTCTGTTTATAGTATGAGATACACCAGTGGGGCTAAAGCAAATCTCACCAATTTTAAGCATTTAGACTAGCAAATCTCACTAATAAAATGCTGGCTGAAGAAGTCCCCCACAGCTAAGTGATGTTCAGCTTCAGGTTGTTTATTATCAGTTTTGTTTAACATCCCATTCATAAGGGAAAAAGCTTCGGGGAGACCTTCAGGGCTATGTGGTTTACCCTGCAGTTCTCCCAGGGCATCATGCAGGAGGCAGCCAAGCCATGGGAGCACAGAGAACATCTACGTAACTCCTGCCTGGTCTCCAGCTTGTGCTGGCACTTGTGCTGCCTGGTATAGTCATATGTGACCCAAAAGGAGACTTGGTGGTAGGAAGTGGGACGACACAATTTACACAGAGCAGATGATGATGATTTGCAGAAGGATCCTGTTAGACTGCCTGACTGGGCAATAAAATTCCTGATGAAATTTAAAACAGATAAATTTAGACTACATTATTTTCCCCCATTAAAATTTGGTCTCTGAGCTGATCCTTGTTACACTGAAACAAAATTTGACCCTGATGCCTGATTCCAGAACTGCAGCACACATCTTGGCAGCTCTCAGGCATCTTGGTAGCACCTCTCCCTTTTCTGCTCATAAAGATCTTCCCTACTGAAGGGGCTGCAGTGACACTGAAGACAACACAGGTCAAGATGAGTGGTTGTGATGTTCCTACGTCGTCCTCTCATGAAAGGGAACTTTTAACATTGGAAATTCTGTCTGGACATAAGAAACATTTTTTAACTGAACATTTTTTAACTGTAGTTCAACATTAAACAGATTGCCCAGAGAAGTTTTGGAGTCTCCATCCTTGAAGAGCATGGATTCTAAGCCCAACTTGACAGAGCCCTATGCAACCTGCTCTAGCTCTTGAGAAGCAGTCTTGGACTAGACAATCTCCAGAGATTCCTTCCAATCTTAACTAGTCTGTGAATATATGAAAGAGAAACGTGAAAAAATATCTCCAACACTCAAGAGGCATCTGTTGATTCAGGAGAAAACTGCAGCAGATTTGAAATAGCTGTATCACAGTCTACAGGCATTGACCCCGACTCAGTATAAAAGGCATAAGATGAAAGAATAAAAGAAATTCCCTACAAATATCCTGCTCTATAATCACGTCTGTGGTCCTTATTCCCTGTGAGGGAAATATTTTCACCTACCTGAAACCACAAAACAGTAGGCTGAGGGTTTCCTTCAATCACTGCCTGAAATTTGGCACACTCCCCTGAATTCACTTGCACATCTTCTATTGTCACTTGCATGTAGGGAGCACCTGGTGAGAGACAAAGTTTTGTGGCCATCACAATACTGTAACTTTATTCATGGTCTGCTGATGAAAGACAAGCTATTCAAATGTGATTTCCAGCCCTCCTGTTTACTGTCATGTGCTATTCTTAGTTTAATAAATAGTAACTGCTCAAGAAATACAAATACTTTAGAAAACAGACATTGAGAGATATCAACAAAAAAGATGATGAAGGGACAGTCATGGAATTGAGGGGAGGGATACAAGGTTATTCCTTACTTGTTGGAGTCTTCTCCTCTGTCTTATACACACACGTTCTTTCCGTGGTCTCAATATAAACTTCGCTGTGCACATCCCAGACCACATCTCCTTCTCTTCTATACCAGTCTCCTGCCCCTGTGGCTGGTGATGTTCTTTCAAAAAGACCAAGAATAAATATCATGACACAGTCACACACAACTACACAGATACAGGATTAGACTCTCAATTTTTATTGCTTAAATTTAATACAAGATTTCCCTTGGGGATTTTTTTCCCCAGACTTATCCATCCTTCTTGCACGATACGAAAGTCAACAGGAGTCTAAGGATTACACTACACACAAAAGAATCAGCTAGAGTCACCACCTACCCCCTTATCTACAACTTGTTTCTCTTACAACACAGCCTGGCATGTTCAGAAATGTGTGTGCAGGATCCGTATTTACCTGCCAATGGGAACTGTGCGTTCCTGAGTCCTTTCTGCTCCAGCAGCCGTATCTCTGGGGCAAGGACCAGGCCCAGGTTTTGTTGCACTTGGTCCTTCAGCTGGAATTTGGCTTTGTGCTTTGTCTGGCAGCAAAAACAAAGCAAGGTTGACATGTCAGTGATGAAGGCACTCTCGAAACCAGAGCAAGTCTTTGGAGACCATCTCCACTCTGCCTTAATGTCCAAAAGGCCTTATCTGGTTTGAAACAAGTGCAATCACTGGAGCTAAGAGTAGAATTTGGCAGTTTTGAGAAGACGACATGCAGTAAAAGGACTGAACATCTGACAGACTGAATGGTGAAACACCAGTGACTGGGCAAAACCAACTTGTTGTTGAGGACACACTAAGAGGCACAAATAGGAAAGGCAGCCAGTGGGGACACAATAAGAATCATGTTGACTGAAAGGGAAATGTTAAAAAAGCAGCAACTTCCAGAACAGCTCTAAGAGCACGAAAAACATGGTTATTCACAGCATGCCTGGTAGGATCAGAGAGCACAAGTGGACAGGAAACGTGCTTGTGCTTTCCTATAGCCTGTGCTATGGAAATATTTGCCTCTTTCTGAAAGAAAGTGTGTGATAAAGGACAGTTGTCAAGTCTCCGATTTATTAAAAAAATTTCCCGTGACAATAACACCTTCAAGTGAAAAGATTGAAAAACTGCTCCATTTAGTTATAAATTAATAATTTGTCCTATTCCAGGATTCCATGAAATCTCTCTCTTCCTGTTCAATTTTATACAAAAACGTTCCATCTTTTAAACAGCATCTGGACTCTATAGAATGAAGGCTACTTGACAATGTTCTTTTTAGGTCACATTGTTCAAAGCCAGTTCTTCTGACTTGACATGAACAGTTGCTATTCAGACAAGTTGTTCTTTTTAAAAGAAACACAGACATGAAACCCAGACTCTCCTGGCAAGGCATAATCACACACATCATGCATTTTAATCACAGGGCAACTGCTGAATAATCTATTAAATCTTCAGTGCTAGTGAAATGCAAGTGAAGTTGTTATGCCCAAGATTTTAGAAAATCCATGGCAGCTGATAAGGGGGTGTTAAGCAAATTTCTAGCTTGCTAATGGCTAATAATAAGTAAGTAAATAAATAAATAAATAATAAAGAAAAAGAGAAAGAAAACCCCAACCATCCTTCTCTTATCTCAGCAAATACCAAACCAAATAACTTCAGAAAATGTAATAGAAAAAAAAAATCTTAAAACATTTCAACAAGTCCAGGTTAAAAGTTCCAGAATTGGAAAAATCCTCTATCCCACTGCAGACAGGTGTCAGACTAAAAACTGCTCAGATATGAAGCAAAGCTTCTGCCCAGCCTAACCCCAGCCCACAGCCCCAGGTTGTTGTGGTGTCTGAAGGTTCTCAACCTGCAGCTTCAGAATACAAAGAAACAAACAAACAAAAAAAAAACACAAAAAAATACTGGCGAGTTTAGCATTTTTGTTTCTCTTGATTTTCCTTCCACAAGGCATTTTCCAGCTTAATTCCAGACCTACCATGCCCTGCAGTAATTTGGGTTTGGGTACTGGCTTCATGTACTATCAGAGGAGGACCAGTTCCCGTTTCTTGGCAGGCAGAAGGCACGGACTCGAGAAGACCAAGACCACCAGCTCCACCTCTTGCTCCTGCCGGGAGAGTCACAAGCAGCGATGCTGAATCCACAAGTTTCCTCAGAGCTGTCTTGATCTCCTTATCGGCGCGTTCAAGCGAGGCCTGGACAGAAGTTTCCGTCTCTGACTGTAGGGAAGTCTCTCCTACAGACAAGAAGAACAACTTTTCTCTCTCCAAAGCAAAAGGAACGGATCACTATCATCTCATCCATCTCACCCCGAGGAAACATTTGCAGTTTTGCCCTTCTCCCCACCCCTAGAGCCAAAAAACCCAGCAACTAGGCTAGCTAGGACTTGCAACAAGGAGCTCAGCACCATACTGTGCACAACGTTGGCCTCCCACCAGATGACCTGCTGACAAC